CTGGGGACAGCAGTGTTCCTGGATCTAGGAGGAGGAGCCAGGAATGCTGCTAAACCTCCCTCCCCCACAAAGAACACTCTGGTCCACAATGTCAATGGTGCAGTTGCTGAGAAACCCTACTTTAATCAGAGAATAATACAGGAAGGATGAAGGGCTGGCGATTCAAATAGATTTCTCTTCCATCATCATTCAATCACCTTCAATCTCACTCAAATAGCACACTACCAGCCAAGTGTCCTGACTGGGGAGATGCCACAGCCAGGGCTCTTTTGGTCCCCACTCAAGTCATCTCAAAGAGAGTGGCAAAGTAGACATTATAAAAATACAGAGCAGGCTGATCAGCGTGGCTCAGTGGTTGAGTGTTGAACCAGGAGGCCATGGTTCGACAGCTGGTCAGAACACATGCCCGGGTTGCGTGCTGGATCCCCAGAAGGGGATGTGCAGGAGGCAGCCGATCAATGATTCTCTCTCATCGTTGATATTTCTGTCTCTCTCTCTCCCTTCCCCTTCCTCTCTGAAATCAATAAAAAAATATATTTTTTTAAAGAATGAGGTACATTTCAGGAGAACATTTGGGATTCATTGATTGCATCCCAAATCAATGTGATTTAAATGGCTAACTACAGACCAAGTAAACGTGCTGAATGAAAGGAATAAAGGCTCCTGTAAAGATAAGGTAAATGGAGGAAACTCTTGATTCTCTAACCCATCATAAACCAAACTATGATACCTTAACATATGTCACACACAGACACACACACACACACACAGACACAGACACAGACACACACAGAGACACACACACAGACATACAGACACACACAGAGAGACACACATAGGCACACAGACACACACAGAGACACACAGACACACACATGCACACACAGAGACACACACACAGACACACAGAGAGCGACACACACAGACGCTCGAGTGTTAGGGACACTTCTCTCTCCGTGGGGCCTCCACCCCTTCAGCTGTCAACGCAGAATCCCAGCGCCTGTCTTCCAAGGATGGCGGAGCTTTAACCAGATGAGGACACACACACACACACACACAGAGAGAGACACACACAGACACAGAGAGAGACACACACAGACACACACAGACACACACACACACAGCATTCTGGATGCAACTAAGCTTGAAAAAGTTGGCTATTCTAAATTTAACTGGGTTAAGACCTTCAGAACTTCAAATATGTTCATGTGCATATTAAGAATAGAGTATAAAGCAGTGCTCCCAAACTTCTTGGACTAACAACTTTTTTTTTTTAATCAATATGCCTAGTTACATCTGTTAGGAGAATGTTTTGAAAAAGACCGGTTGAGAAATGCTGAATTGTGTCCAGCAATCATAACCCCAAAGGCCCCAACATTGATTTCTCCTAGCTTTCTCCCAAGCCCAAGCGCGCAAACGTCAAATGGAGAAAATCACACGAAGGCAGCTTACTTTACAAGGAGTTTAGGATCACCTACATCAGTTTGTGATCACTTCAACAGTCATCTGCAAACCCTTCCCCCTCTCCACAAGAACCTTCCCCAACCATCTTCTGACCACATACCTTGCCCTCCTTCCCAGAGAGAAGAAAAGCCATCAGACATGGACTTCTCAGCTCTTCAATGCAAGCATGTAAACCTCCCTTACCATTCTGTCTTCCCTCCTATTTTGTGCTACAATACTGATGTTGTTCTATCTCCTGTTTAAGGCCAGTTTCCCCAGTTTTGGATTACATCCCCTCTCACCTTTTCAAGAACTACATATTTTTATTATTCACTCCCTCTCTTCTGAACTCAACTTCTCTCCAAAGGCCTCCTCTTGCATTTTAACTTACTCAATTCTCTTCCTTCTTGGGGGAAAAAACCTCCACCTCTCCGTCACCCCCATATCCTTACCCAACTACTGGCCTCTCTCTCTTCACCTTCGCAGCCCAACTGCTCTGAAGAGTTGTCTCTGTTCATTAGCTTTGTTTCCTCACCTTCTACTTCCTCCTCAACCCACTCCACTCTGGATTCTGCCCTCTTTTCAAACAGCTCTAACTAACAGTAAAAATTAAATTTCATGTTGCTCATTCACTCTGTGGTCATTTGCTAACGTTTATTTCACCTGAACCCAACCACGTACACATCTGGATCCTAGGTCATGCTTCTCCCATCTGGAATACCCTATTCTGTCCCACTCCAATTTCTCTGGCTTGTTTTTTTCTGACCTCTCAGTTCTCAACGAAAACACATCCTCTGGGAGTTTTTTTTCTTCTTCTGGTCTTATTCTTAAGTCTCTCTTGAGTGCCATTGTACAGGCTTTCTGCTGTCATAAAAACGATCATGCTATAATAAACCCCTCCAATATACATATTCTTTGAGCTCTTTGAGGGCAGACACTGTCTTATTCACTCTGGTATAACCAATGCCGAGCACGATTTCTAGCACATAGTAGGCACTCAGTAAATACTTGTTTAATGAGTTTAACTTGATCTCATCTGTATTATTTGTAAAGGTCTGATTCGTTATGTAACACTTAGACAAAAGGTCAATCACAGAATCTTCTATTATGAGAAACACAGTGACATGTTTAAAGATTAAAATAAGAAAGAACTGACATTTAAAAGTTTCCTGTTTAAAAGAAGGGAAGTTGAATCTTAAAGCCAACAGCTCAGAAGTGCTGGGCTGAGTGGGGTGGCAGGTGGCAAGGGGGAATAAAGTAGGGATTCAAAAATTAGGTTGACTTATATTTCTAACAGTGATATTACCATGGCAAGAGACACTGCAAATTATGCTGGATTTCTGAAGAGCTGCATGTGTTCACAGGGAACAGCATATGAACTAATTAAGTGCCACCTGGAAGCATTTGGCAAATATTTGCTTACTGATTGCCTTCCAATTGGTTTTTAGCCAAATTTCCAAGCAGAGAGTTTCCGGCTTGCCTCTCCACCATCATGTTGGCAAAGTATGGTTAAAGGAATGGCTTGAGGGAAGAGAGTCATCTTTGATTCTTTCTTTTCTTTCACTTTCCACATCCTATTCATCAGCAATTCCTATCAGTTTGACTTCCAAAGTACACCCTGAATCAGACCGCCTCTCACCATCTCCAATGCCACAATGTGCACCCAAGCCAACCTCAACTATCACTGGAACTACGGACGGAGCCTCCTGATTGCTCTATTGTCTCTTCTTGCCCTGTCCTTATAGCTCAGCTTCCTCTAACTAACTAACCACAGTGACCCATCTAAAGGGTAATTAGAGGTCAACCTTCTGCCTACAGTCCTCCAGTAAATAGCCCCGGTGACTGTCAACTGGAGACTGGATAAACGAATTGGTAAATTCCTACCATGTAATACCATTCAGCAATAAAAGGAATGAACTGATTCCTCCAACATGGATGCCAGGAAAGAGTTTATACTGCATGATTTCTTTCATATACAGTTCCAGAACAGGAAAGACTAACCTGGTGAGGGAAATCATCACAGGGAAGAGGTGGTAATATACTGAGGAAGAGAAACGAGGGAACTTTGTGAGGTGATGGAAATGTTTCATATCCTGATAGTTTGGTGTGTCTAGGTGCATGAATTTGTCAGAACTTAATGGCTATCCTTAAGATTTATATATTTATATATTTATATATTTCATTGTATGTAAATTTTACCTCAAAATAAAAAATGCAAACAAATATTGAATTCTACTTCATAAGTTATAGAAATGTCGAACCACTATACTATACACCTAATATAATGTTGAATGCTAATTGCAATTGAAAATATTGAATTCTAGTTAATGACACATATTTTAGAAATTTAGGAGTTACTGATATCTAAAACTTACTCTGCAATGCATCAAAAATACATCAGAGTGAATGATAGATAGATGGATAAAATAACTATACTAAAATGTTAATGGTAGAATATTGGTAAGGAGAATATAGGTATTGGTTGTGAAAACCTTTCAGTTTTGCTGTTTAAAAATTTTCATACTAAAGTTATGGGGGAAATGAAAACCTCTAAGGCAGTGGTTCTCAACCTTCCTAATGCCGCGACCCTTTAATACTGTTCCTCATGTTGTGGTGACCCCCAACCATAAAATTATTTTCATTGCTACTTCATAACTGTAATTTTGCTACTGTTATGAATTATAATGTAAATATCGGATATGAAGGATGTATTTTCAGGGGTCACAACCCACAGGCCTAACCACTCCCCTGCCAGCCTGATCGATGCCTAATGGCTCCCCTACCGGCCCAGTTGCCCCCAACTGCCCTCCTC